CTTCTGTCCCAGCCCCCACCTGCGCAGGCGGCACCTGCCGGATGGCAGGGGGCGCCCCGCCCCGCTTTTCCAGTTGCAGCTGGCAAGGCAGGGGCCCAGGGGAGCCCTTCTCCGGGGGCCAGGATGGCCAGTGTTGGACGATTTGTATTTTTGATGCTCTATTTATTACTCAGCCCAGCTCTGGGCTCTTGCTGCCCCACCCTGCTGCTTCAGGACTCCCAACGCCCCCTCCCCCCATGGCTGGGCAGGGGGTGGCACCGTGCAGGGCAAAGAGGCAGCTTTGTGGCATGAGCCGAGCCAAGACGCCTGGATTCTGTTCCTGGCTCTGGAAGGGGCGTGGGGCCTAGTGGTCAGAGCACAGGGCTGGGAGCTAGGATGCCTGAGTTCTGGCTCTTGTTCAAGGAGGGGCGTGGGGCCTAGTGGTCAGAGCACAGGGCTGGGAGCTAGGATGCCTGAGTTCTGGCTCTTGTTCAAGGAGGGGCGTGGGGCCTAGTGGCCAGAGCACAGGGCTGGGAGCTAGGATGCCTGAGTTCTGGCTCTTGTTCAAGGAGGGGCGTGGGGCCTAGTGGCCAGAGCACAGGGCTGGGAGCTAGGATGCCTGAGTTCTGGCTCTTGTTCAAGGAGGGGCGTGGGGCCTAGTGGCCAGAGCACAGGGCTGGGAGCTAGGATGCCTGAGTTCTGGCTCTTGTTCAAGGAGGGGCGTGGGGCCTAGTGGCCAGAGCACAGGGCTGGGAGCTAGGATGCCTGAGTTCTGGCTCTTGTTCAAGGAGGGGCGTGGGGCCTAGTGGCCAGAGCACAGGGCTGGGAGCTAGGATGCCTGAGTTCTGGCTCTTGTTCAAGGAGGGGCGTGGGGCCTAGTGGCCAGAGCACAGGGCTGGGAGCTAGGATGCCTGAGTTCTGGCTCTTGTTCAAGGAGGGGCGTGGGGCCTAGTGGTCAGAGCACAGGCCTGGGAGCTAGGATGCCTGAGCTCTGGCTCTGGTTCAAGGAGGGGCATGGGGCCTAGTGGTCAGAGCACAGGCCTGGGAGCCAGGACTTTGTAGCTGTGGGAGGCCACAGGTTGCGCTGCCCCGTAGGAGTGGGAGGGGTCGGGCACCTTCCTGTCTGTAATGAGCTTTGACAGTGAAATAGGCTCATTGTTATTCCAAGGTGTTTGGGTTCTCAGCCTGCAGCTGCTGTTTCACCCCCTGCCCCACCCGAATTTCTCCACCCCCTGGGACCCACAGCAAGGAGTGATGTTGGGGGGGGAAGTGGGGGCCTATGGCTGCCTCTGAGCTAGAGAC